AGGTTTAACGTTTGCAGTAGGCTTTGTTTTCACTTTAGATATTCTGAGGTTTCACAGAAAGTAAACGCAGGTTTCACGAATCATTAGTCCGCAATTTCATGTTAAAAGAAAGCTACAGGTCCACGTATGCATTAAGCTGAGGTTTCACGTATGTAGTAGGCTAAGGTTTCACGTATAAAGTAAGCTGTTTCACGTATAAAGTAAGCTGTTTCACGGATACAGTAGGCTGCGGTTTCATGTTTAAAGTAAGATGCACTTTCACGTTTAATGTAAACTACTGGTTCACGTGTAAACTAAGATAAGGTTTCTAGTATATGCACTAGGCTGTGGTGTCACGTATCGGTCAAGCTGTGGACTCACATATACACAAAACTGCAATGCACGGGCACATTTCGTACAAAACAAAGTCGTGAGGAACAATAAAACGCATTGTGTGAATGGTACATTTTCTATAGTTTTCTTTTGATTCTGACTCGTAAAGCAGTCGTAGAAAAAAACCCGAAGCAATAGCGATAAAAATAAAGTTAAAAAAAACGTGTAATGTACGAGTTACTGTAGCAAATGTTATATAGCGATAAATAACAAAAACAACTAAGATTTATTTCTGACGTATAGGTAAACGCTGGAGCCGAGCCGGTAGATACATTACCTTTAGGCGCAGCTCACGTTTGTGGTGCGTTATTTTTAAATACATCGTGTATACAGCAATATTTTAGGATATAACAGACATTTATATGAGGTTTACAAGATAAGAATTTAATATTTCAAGACATGCAATGTTCTACTTTGAGAACAGATTCCGACATGTGTTTGAACATACAGAACTCGCGTCATTTCTTATTCAGCTGGATCCTACTGGCACCAACGGAACCAAGGCGTGTGTAGAAATCAAACGCCTTTGATAAAACCTGTCTTACGGAATTCAATAGAATCTTTAGTTATTCAAACATTTTGACATGTCTAATTTTAGCGTTCAGGATTGGTTTTAGTGCTTTTTGTTGTTTCTGCCTTACAGATTCTACATTCGCATGCATTAGATGACTGGTAAAATTACAAAAAGTGACAGGTTTCAGAAGAAAATGCAAAACTGCAGATTTGCGTTTTCTGAGTTTTGAAGAAATTTGTGAATAATAATAGCATAAAGCAGTAGGAATGTTCGACTAGATAAAACTTTTCGCTCGGTATGACGATGTCAGAACAGGTTAACAGTTTTTGGACATAGTATTGGTTGGTTTGCTTTATTTAACTTGCATCTAAATCAACTTTCCAGTGAAAAAAAAGGCTTTATATTCGCATTAAACCTCGCTTTGGTACCGTAAGTGGACAACATGAAATAGCAAGAGTACAACATATAAGGTTACTGTGTGCTGAGGAATACTTTGAAGTAGGTGCACTCAACTTTAATCTCAGTTCATTCGTGTTCCGAGCACCTGCTACACTGCACACATCTGCTGATCAATTTAATGGTGGTTCTCCGGCATGTTTGCAAGTTTTTTAATCGTGAAAAAAGAAATTTAATTTAAAGTCTTTTCATCAATTTTACACTTATATACCGGGTTCTTTGTACATTAAGTATAACCTTTTGAAAATTTAGAAAAGGGGATTAATTACCGATTAATTAAAGGTTGCTATCTCATTTCGTCAGATAGTTAATGCACTTCTGTAAATGACCGCTGTCTCTGTATTTCAAGTATCAGGTTTTCTGATGATTCCGGCTGTGGCTTATCAGTCTCCGACTCCGATTTTATAGTAGACACCTGATGAACATGCACGATAGACGATAACATAAGTATGGGTGATGTGCTTTAACCTCTGGACTGGACAATTCCTTTAACGTTCTCAGGCGACTGTGAAAAATATCTCCTGAAATAACTCATCTCCTATGGCTTTATAACAATTCCAAGAAGAAGTTAAACTTTTTAAGGTTCCCCGTACCACTGCGAAAAAGAAAATGAAACTATGCATTTGAAAACATTCTGCGAGCCTAGACCGGGATTCGAACTCTTGACTTCCGATTGTTACAGTATCGCTGAAACCACCGATTGAGCTATATCCGGACAACGGAAGTGTACAAGCCTACTACAGTTATGTCCAAACGGAAGTAAGGGGAGGTTACTGTATAAAGGAAAGACGACAGAGTAATGGGACAATGATCCTTAGTAATCCGAGATCCATAGTTATTAGTACATTTTAGACAATTCTTAAAAAATAAACGGCGAAAGTAATGCTGGATGACTTCGTTCAGTAATAATATATACTGTTCTAGTTCACAAACATACGTCACGTCGATACAGCAACAAAACACACTTTTAAATTGTTATCATTAAGCTCATAAAAAACTGACTAGACAGAAGCGATAAATAAAAGTAGATAACTATATTCATCCTTCCGCTTTATCGCAATCGAGACATTTTAAGCAGCTATATCTTTACAAAGGCATGTCTTTAACTATCTGCACTGGTTGTCATGCCCGCTTTATCCAATGCGTCTAGGGACAATAGAGACTGATTAATTAATTGATCGTAAGACAGGGGTCCCCATTTTTTTTTTTTTTTTTTTTTTATCACAGAATGAATTCTATCTCGAGAATATGTTCGAAGTACACTTGCTAACTTTGATACTCTGGAAATTGTTAGTCCATCCTTTCTATCAACTTCTCCTGGATTTCACTCGCGTTCCTGAAATGCTGAAGAGCCACTATTTTACAACATTTATACCAAGGTTCCCTTGTCCGGAGCGTACTTTCCTACGATTAATGGCGTGACGTTTATCCCTTTCCTTCATCTCATGTTTATCTAAAACACATATCTCGTGAAAAAAAATCCACCAGTTCCATGTCAGGTCACGATTGAAATAATAAATAATTTGTATATATGTATACAGATAAAATCTAATGCTTATAAATTCAACATTATCTGACGAAATTCTGAAATCCTTGTCGTGACCATCTGTAAATATGTGTGTGCTACTGAACGTGGTCAAACGAGTACACGTCTTTTTTAAACTGTTGGATATACGTTCATTCGAGTGTCGTAACCAATGGAAAATATATTTTAGACTGGCGAGGCGATAATGTGGAGCCAGATATTATTTCAGTGTGTCGTCAGATGAAGGAAACTGTTTTTTGACAACATAGTCAAATGTTATTTCAGTGTGTCGTCAGATGAAGGAAACTGATTTTGGCAACTAAGCCAGATGTTATTTCAGTGTTTCGTCAGAATCACTAGACCTACTACCACTTGTTGTTAGTGTATTTCGTTTAGTCGTCTCCTCGTGAACGTACAGTACCTGGTGACCACGTATAGTACCTGGTAACCACGTACAGTACCTGGTGATAAACGTACAGTATCTAGTGACCACGTACATTACCTGGTGACCACGATGCAGCTAATGCACACATGCTTTATATTTCCCAGTGCAACATCTTACAGAAAAGTATCGGAATGTTCCCAGTGTTTATTTCTACCCAGTCCACCTTAATTTAACGCTATAGCCTGCCTCTCTGACAATATCCATGCAAATAAACTCGTGTCTGTTTAAAATATACGCGAATCTGCATCATCAATATGTTTTCTTTAAGGTTCTAATTTTGGCAACATTCCCGGACCTTGAATCCGGATTTCACACGAATGCGTGTCCGCATCAAGATAGTCGTCCCTTGTGATGTAACCCTAGTCTACTCCTGATATGTATTTATAGATTACACAACAATATACGTCACTATTTCTGTTTGAATTCTCTATGTTATAATCAACAGTAAAGAGTCCTGGATCGTTTTGTATCCAGACATCGGCTGAACATGTTCTATCTGCTGTGTCGGCATCCAAATCTGTCAATATGGCTACTGTTTGTAGCGGGAGTAACTTTACTAACAGAAGACGTTGTTATCAGAATATTGTCCCAGGCTAGCTTTAACACTTTACCCACGCCAATCAGAGCACTGGTTACGTAGCGCTACATACATACTTGAATTATTTCCAAAATGCAACTGTATCTGTACATTACAGAGATCGTCTACGCGCTCAAAATAGATAATGTATTAATTATATATTTAAAAATCGATAACCATTGTATAGTTTCAAAATGCTTATCGACATCACATTTCTTTCCATTTCTTTATTTAGGAATTATATGCGGTGAGATATCCGGAATGTCAGTTCTGTTTCTAACGATCACATGTTCCAGCTGTAAGTTCTCGCTATCAAGTTCATGTGTATTTACGTTTTGTCTTTATAAAGATAAGTAAATAACGACAAACAGTAGGTGTGTGTCCTAGTGCGTCTAGTTTAATTGGAAACGTTTCCAAATGGTTTATGTCAATGAAACAAGACATATTTCCAAGTACCACCAATTACCTTAAAACCTTGCTAGCTCAACAAATCAAGATGCTGAAATATTCCTGCTAGAATTAATGACCAACATCTAGATATTCAGACGAATCAGCACACTTGCGTGTAATTAAGTTACTTAAATCAGAGGTGACAATAGATGATTTGACTTATTGGATACATCAAATGGGTGTACCTAAACATCTCGTGAATTGTCACGTTTAAGCAAGCAATTAGGGAAACTATATCTGTAATAGCAAGTTTCGTGCTCATTTCCGGGGCGTGCTGCTTTCTGCACCTCCCCAGATGACGAGGTTGATGTGTCTGTGACGTGTAAGCCCTGTATATTCGGGCTTCCGTTTGCTCCACCGGGTTGCAGCCATCACCAGATACATTACCATTCCTCCGTATCTTCGATTCTATCAATCTCGACTCTGGATCTCAGACACGCTTGATAACGCCGCCAAGTTCAGATGGTTCTAGGCGATGTGTCAATTTCACCTGACATTTTACTCCTTGATCTAAATGGCATCCTTCCGCCAACTATCATTAAGTCCCATTCATACAAACACACGTTTCGGTAAAGCAGTATGTCTGGGCGCTCGTGCTCATCTCTTACTTATATCTTCGTACGTATCTGAAGGTACATAGCGTCCCGCTGTTGCCATGACAATGGGAGGATGCCAATGACAAGCTTAGTCATCTCTGTAGACGTTGATGTGCTGGTGTATGAGGTGCACCACTCACTGTGAGACTAGCATATGTGTGCTGTGTTGTTGATATGTATGTTGGAAAAACTATCAGGAAGTATCGCCTACTTTGTGTGCAGGATTATAATGCTAGTTTGTAAACAGGATTATAACACCGCTTTCTATGCTACTTTGTGAACAAACTGGTACAAGTTGTCTTGTACCTGGTGAACAACATCTCGTTAATTTCTCGTCGTAAGTATAACTATCTCGTGACTCGAGCATGGTATCTAATGACAATACTTGTAACTTTTGTATATAACTAGACTCTAATTTTATGTGTAACTAACAATGAGAATCGTATCAATCAGAAGAATGGTTGTCACTTCTGAACGTGATTAATTTTGTATGTAACCGACTTTTGTATGTAACTAACAGTGAGAAATACACCAGATCAGTGCTTGTTACTTTTGTATGTACCTTACATTTCTGTGTTGGTACTTTTGAGTGCAAACATTTTTTATGTTACTAACAGTGAAAATTGTATCAAACCGTGCAAAAACTACAATGTTTGTTTGTAAGTAAGTTTTGCATGAAAATAAAGTGAGAATTGTACCAGAGTAGGGTACAGTAACTCGTACATTGTACCAGAGTAGGGGACAGTAACTCGTACATTGTACCAGAGTAGGGTACAGTAACTCGCACACTGTACCAGAGTAGGGTACAGTAACTCGGACCTTGACCAGAGTAGGGTACAGTAACTCGTACATTGTGCCAGAGTAGGGTACAGTAACTCGTACATTGTACCGGAGTAGGGTACAGTAACTCGTACATTGTACCAGAGGAGGGTACAGTAACTCGTACATTGTACCAGAGTAGGGTACAGAAACTCGTACATTGTACCAGAGCAGGGTACAGTAACTCGTACATTGTACCAGAGCAGGGTACAGTAACTCGTACATTGTACCAGAGCAGGGAACAGTAACTCGTACATTGTACCAGAGTAGGGTACAGAAACTCGTACATTGTACCAGAGCAGGGTACAGTAACTCGTACATTGTACCAGAGCAGGGTACAGTAACTCGTACATTGTACCAGAGTAGTGTTCAGTAACTCGTACATTGTACCAGAGTAGGGTACAGAAACTCGTACATTGTACCAGAGCAGGGTACAGTAACTCGTACATTGTACCAGAGTAGGGCACAGTAACTCGTACATTGTACCAGAGCAGGGTACAGTAACTCGTACATTGTACCAGAGCAGGGTACAGTAACTCGTACATTGTACCAGAGTAGTGTTCAGTAACTCGTACATTGTACCAGAGTAGGGTACAGTAACTCGTAAATTGTACCAGAGTAGGGTACAGTAACTCGTACAATGTACCAGAGTAGGGTACCGTAACTCGTACACTGTACCAGAGTAGGGTACAGTAACTCGGACATTGTACCAGAGTAGGGTACAGTAACTCGTACTTTGTACCAGAGTAGGGTACAGTAACTCGGACATTGACCAGAGTAGGGGACAGTAACTCGTACATTGTACCAGAGGAGGGTACAGTAACTCGTACATTGTACCAGAGTAGTGTTCAGTAACTCGTACATTGTACCAGAGTAGGGTACAGAAACTCGTACATTGTACCAGAGCAGGGTACAGTAACTCGTACATTGTACCAGAGTAGTGTTCAGTAACTCGTACATTGTACCAGAGTAGGGTACAGTAACTCGTACACTGTACCAGAGTAGGGTACAGTAACTCGGACATTGACCAGAGTAGGGTACAGTAACTCGTACATTGTACCAGAGTAGGGTACAGTAACTCGCACACTGTACCAGAGTAGGGTACAGTAACTCGGACATTGACCAGAGTAGGGTACAGTAACTCGTACATTGTACCAGAGCAGGGTACAGTAACTCGTACATTGTACCAGAGTAGGGTACAGTAGCTCGTACATTGTACCAGAGCTATGATTCTAACTGTTACATGTACATTTAGCTAGATTTTATAACAAAGAAAGTTGTAATGTTTGTCGATAATGATGGGTGTAAAGGTGGGTACTGTATTGGGTGTAAAGGTGGGTACTGTATAAGGTGTTAAGGTTGGTACTGTATTAGGTGTATGGGTGGGTACTGTATTAGGTATATGGTTAGGTACTGTATTAGGTGTAAAGGTGGGTACTGCACTAGGTGTAAAGGTGGGTACTGTATTATGTGTAAAGGGGGGTACTGTATTAGGTGTAAAGGTGGGTATTGTATTAGGTGTAAATGTGGCTACTGTATTGGGTGTAAAGGTGGGTACTGTATTAGGTGTAAATGTGGGTACTGTATTGGGTGTAAAGGTGGGTACTGTATTAGGTGTAAATGTGGGTACTGTATTAGGTGTAAATGTGGGTACTGTATTGGGTGTAAATGTGGGTACTGTATTAGGTGTAAAGGTGGTACTGTATTAGGTGTAAATGTGGGTATTGTATTAGGTGTAAAAGTGGGTAATGTATTAGGTTTAAAGGTTAGTACTGTATAAGGTGTAAAGGTGGAAACTGTATTAGGTGTAAAGGTGGATACTGTATTAGGTATAAAGGTGGGTACTGTATTAGGTGTAAAGGTGGGTACTGTATTAGGTGTAAAGGTGGGTACTGTATTAGGTGTAAAGGTGGGTACTGTATTAGGTGTAAAGGTGGGTACTGTATTAGGTGTAAAGGTGGGTACTGTATTAGGTGTAAAGGTGGGTACTGTATTAGGTGTAAAGGTGGGTACTGTATTAGGTGTAAAGGTGGGTACTGTATTAGGTGTAAAGGTGGGTACTGTATTAGGTGTAAAGGTGGGTACTGTATTAGGTGTAAAGGTGGGTACTGTATTAGGTGTAAAGGTGGGTACTGTATTAGGTGTAAAGGTGGGTACTGTATTAGGTGTAAAGGTGGGTACTGTATTAGGTGTAAAGGTGGGTACTGTATTAGGTGTAAAGGTGGGTACTGTATTAGGTGTAAAGGTGGGTACTGTATTAGGTGTAAAGGTGGGTACTGTATTAGGTGTAAAGGTGGGTACTGTATTAGGTGTAAAGGTGGGTACTGTATTAGGTGTAAAGGTGGGTACTGTATTAGGTGTAAAGGTGGGTACTGTATTAGGTGTAAAGGTGGGTACTGTATTAGGTGTAAAGGTGGGTACTGTATTAGGTGTAAAGGTGGGTACTGTATTAGGTGTAAAGGTGGGTACTGTATTAGGTGTAAAGGTGGGTACTGTATTAGGTGTAAAGGTGGGTACTGTATTAGGTGTAAAGGTGGGTACTGTATTAGGTGTAAAGGTGGGTACTGTATTAGGTGTAAAGGTGGGTACTGTATTAGGTGTAAATGTGGGTACTGTATTAGGTGTAAAGGTGGGTACTGTATTAGGTGTAAAGGTGGGTACTGTATTAGGTGTAACGGTGGGTACTGTATTAGGTGTATGGTTAGGTACTGTATTAGGTATAAAGGTGGGTACTGTATTAGGTGTTAAGGTGGGTATTGTATTAGGTGTAAATGTGGGTACTGTATTGGGTGTAAAGGTGGGTACTGTATAAGGTGTAAAGGTGGGTACTGTATTGGGTGTAAAGGTGGGTACTGTATAAGGTGGGTACTGTATTAGGTGGAAAGGGGGGTACTGTATTAGGTGTAAAGGTGGGTACTGTATTAGGTGTATGGGTGGGTATTGTATTAGGTGTATGGGTGGGTACTGTATTAGGTGTAAAGGTGGGTACTGTATAAGGTGTAAAGGGGGGTACTGTATTAGGGGTATGGGTGGGTATTGTATTAGGGGTATGGGTGGGTACTGTATAAGTTGTCAAGGTGGGTACTCTATTAGGTGTAAAGGTGGGTACTGTATTAGGTGTATGGGTGGGTACTGTATAAGTTGTAAAGGTGGGTACTGTATTAGGTGTAAATGTGGGTACTGTATTGGGTGTAAAGGTGGGTACTGTATTAGGTGGAAAGGTGGGTACTGTATTAGGTGTATGGGTGGGTACTGTATTAGGTGTAAAGGTGGGTACTGTATTAGGTGTATGGGTGAAAACTGCATTTGGTGTATGGGTGGTTAGCAAACTGGTGTATAGTTGGGTATTATAATGGGTGCTTGATGGGTATTATAATGGGTGCATTAGTGGGTATTATTATTGATGTATTGTGGGTATTATAATTGGTGTACGGGTGGGTATAAATATGAGTGTATGGGTGGGTGTTATAATGGGTGTATGGGTGGGTATTTCAATTGGTGTTTGGGTGGGTATTATGATAGGTGTATGGATGGGTATTAATATGAGTATATAGTTGTGTATTAATATGAGTGTATAGTTGTGTATTATATTGTGTGTATGGTAGGGTATTGTATTCGGTTAATGAGTGGGTATGGTTTTAGGTGTATGTATTTTGAATTATGTTTGGTGTATGGATGTATATTGCGTTTAATGTATAGGTGTGTGGTTGTCTAGGTGTATAGGTGTATATTGTGTTTAATGTATAGGTGGGTGTTTTCTAGGTGAACGGGTGTATATTACATTTAAAGTATAGGTGGGTGTTTGTCAGGGTGTATGGGTTTATATTGTGTTTAATGTATAGGTGGGTGTTTGTCTAGGTGTATAGGTGTATATTATGTTTAATGCATAGGTGTATATTATGTTCAATCTATAGGTGGGTGATTGTCTAGGTGTATAGGTGTATACTGTGTTTAATGTATAGGTGTGTGGTTGTCTAGGTGTATAGGGGTATATTGTGTTTAATGTATAGGGGGGTGTTTGTCAGGGGGTATGGGTTTATATTGTGTTTAGTGTATAGGTGGGTGTTTTCTAGGTGAACGGGGGTATATTACATTTAAAGTATAGGTGTGTGTTTGTCTAGGTGGAGAGGTGTATAGTGTGTTTAAGGTATAGGTGGGTGTTTGTCGAGGTGTATAGGTGTATATTGTGTTTAATGTATAGGGGGGTGTTTTCTAGGTGAACGGGGGTATATTACATTTAAAGTATAGGTGGGGGTTTGTCTAGGTGTATAGGTGTATATTGTGTTTAATGTATAGGTGTGTGTTTGTCTAGGTGTACGGGTGTATATTATGTTCAATGTATAGGTGGGTGATTGTCTAGGTGTACGGGTGTATATTATGTTTAATGTATAGGTGTATATTATGTTCAATGTATAGGTGGGTGGTTGTCTAGGTGTATGGGTGTATATTATGTTTAATGTATAGGTGGGTGTTTGTCTAGGTGTATGGGTGTATATTGTGTTTAATGTATAGGTGGGT